AAGTTTTGAAAGTGCTGTTTCTTCTGAGGACACTTGTGGCCAAATATTGTATTGGCTGGAGAGTGAGCTGACATAACTTTCTGAAAGACATCTGCCAATGGGTATCAAAAGCCCTTTGAGGGGCTGGGGATGTGGCTTAAGCGGTAGCGCGCTCGCCTGGCGTTCGTGCGGCCCGGGTTCGGTCCTCAGCACCATGTACCGACAGAGATGTTGTGTCCGCCAGTGACTAAAAAGTAAATATTGAAGGATTCTCTCTCTCTCTCTCTCTCTCTCTTAAAAAAAAAAAAGCCCTTTGACCCAGAAATACATCCTAAGGGGAAAAAAAAATCATAGTCACACACAAGATTTATAAACAAGAAATTTCATCAAAACGTTCCTTTATCATTGCAGACAATTGCAAATAGCTTTCTCCAGACCGGTGCACACTTGGTGCACACTTGGAGGGGAGCACTCTGGCCACCATTCCCCATCCTGTTCTCAGATAGGACTGTGGGGAGTTGCTCATCGGGTATCACCCAGGAATAAAAGTCAGTCCCCGGCTGCAGGCCCTGCTTCGACCAGTCACCTGGCTTTTTTTGTTCGCTGCAGTGACCGGTTAGCGCTGCTTCAGGTCCGGGCCATCCTCCAGCAGCTGGGTCTGAACAGCACGTGCGACGACAGTATCCTGGTCAAGACCGTGTGCGGGGTGGTGTCCAAGAGGGCTGCGCAGCTGTGCGGGGCGGGCATGGCGGCTGTGGTGGACAAGATCCGGGAGAACAGAGGGCTGGACCATCTGAACGTGACGGTGGGCGTGGATGGGACGCTCTACAAGCTGCATCCGCAGTGAGTGGGGCTTGGTGGGGGATGGCAGAGGGCGCTGGGTGGCGAGTTCCTGGGTCCCCTGGAGGATTACAGGTTTCAGGGTGTGGTTCCCGTCTGAGAAACTCCTCACTGGGCATGGCTGCCTGCGACTGTGAGTGTGGGGACAGGGCAGGGGTGGGGGGTGGGTGATGAGCAGCTCTAGGGTTTGTGGTCCTGGGGAAGTGAAGAAGGCACTTACTTGACCCTCTTACCTGACACAGTGGCTGGCGGGCGTGACCCCCTCCCTGCTCTCCTGGGCTCGCTGAGGTGTGGGTGGGGTGGCCTTGCCCCTTCAGCCTGGCCAGGGTCGGCTTGGCTGGGAGGCTGTGCTTGGTGAGTCCGAAGAGGAAATGGAAGAGGGAGCAGGGCCCATTGTCTTGTTCACCTGCCAAATCAAACTTGGAAGGGCAGGTGCAGTGCTGGCCCTGGACTCTGGGACAGGGAGGGGTCCGAAGTGACCTACTTTGGGTGAAGTGTCGGACACCCCATGCCAGAGAAGGACCTGCTCTTTGATCCACTGCGTGTTCCAAAGCTTGGCTCTTAGGAATAGAGTGGCCATGCCTAAACTGGGGGTGCCTTAACCAGTGCGAGTAGCGCTGCTCCTAGTATCTCGGGACCCTAGGCCACCTAGGCCTTAGGGTCACCCTATTCAAAAACACCTCACCCAACGCCACAGAGAGATTACCCGCTTACCTCAGGCCTGTGGCTGGGGTGAAGCCATCTGCCGAGCTCCGTCCTCACCTGTCTCTCTGCCTCCTTAGCTGCCCTCATTGTCACCAGAGGCAGCACCCGGGGAGTGGTCTAGGCTTAGTGGCTATGTACACTTGAATTTGACCTTGGCTTCACCTTTCAGATGCCATGCTCCATTGCTTAATCTCTGACAGTTCCTATCTCAATCCCATCTTCCTGGTGGCATAATAGCCATTGACAGGGCTGGAAGTCCCGTCTATGAAGTATGGGGCACCTAGTAGGTACTCAATAAATGGGACTTCCCCTGAGAACCCCATTGTCCCAAACATCCTCAGCCTGGCCTGTCTTTCATGTTCAGCACAAAACACAAATGCCTAGAGACACCTCACTTAGAGACTGTCCCTTCCTGGGGTGCTGCCTCTCTTGGCTGCAGGTGCTGGGTGGATGGCCGCTGGGACGGGATTCCCAGGTAGCCTCCTGAACTAGCCAGCACTTGGCCAGCGTGGGTTTGGCTGAGTGGTCCCTGCTGGGCCTCAGCCTCCTTTTTGGCCTTCAGGTTCCCCAGGAGCCCCAGGCTCTGGGATGGGGGTTCCCTATGCCCTCTGCCTCGTAAACTGTTGGGAGTCACTCGTTTGGGGATTCTCAGTTGTGCCTCCTTCTGGAAGTTGTGATAACAGGATTGGCAGTGTCGCGCTTTCCTCAGTCAGCTGTGGCTACTTTAATCCGCCCCTGCCCACCTAATTTGGGGTGCTTTCCTGATTTCAGGAGGACCAGTGTCCCTTCATCTCTTCTCCTTTCCCACAACTTACATTTTCCTAATGTTATTTTATTTTATTTTCCTCTTTACCAGCTTCTCCAGAATCATGCACCAAACGGTGAAGGAACTGTCACCAAAGTGTAACGTGTCCTTCCTCCTGTCTGAAGACGGCAGTGGCAAGGGGGCTGCTCTCATCACAGCTGTGGGTGTGAGGCTCCGGGGAGAAATGAGCTAAGGGCACAGGCCCCCACCCGCTGCCTGTCCAGCACTTGTCTCTCAAAGCGACGACCCCCCTGTTCCTCTCAGCGAGCCGCGCTGGGAGCCCTCAGCGCCAGAGCCGCCCCCCACAGCGGGGAAGGAAAGCAATCCAACGAATGGCACCTATCGTAGGGTACAACCTAGAGCGTGTGCTGTTGACCATCTCTCACCTGGACCCTCACCTGCCCTGCCACTCTGCATGATTTGATCTCCACCCGGTCGTGCATCCCCTCGTGTGAAGTGTAGCCGCACCCATTCCTCCCGCGGGCGCCCATCCAGCTCAGATGAAAAGTCGCACCATCAGACGGGCCCTGTGGCCTCCAAAGCCCGTCCTCGGGGTCGCCTCCCCTGCGTGAAGTGTATTATCACCAGCAGTCACTGCCGGACTCTTCCCCTGGGCCCAGGGCCCAGCCTGAAGGGCGAGTGTGGACGCAGCGTGACCGCTTTCTCCCGTCCCCGCCACCCACTGTGGCAGCCTGGCGGTCCCATGGGGGATGTGTCGATGCCACTAGACGTGTGTGTGTGTCCATGGAACCGGTCCTAGCCGCACTGTGACAGTCTTGCATTCTGTTGATCTCGTGGGGGGAGGTGGGAAGTCCCGTGGGAAAGTGTCTTGTCTCCATTTGGGTAAAAGGAACCGACCCACAAGCAGCGCCATCACTGGAATTTCCCATCGCTTTTGTGAGCCATGTTGTATGACCTAGTAAACTTTGTACCAATTCAAAAAGCCGAGTGATGCTTGGTGGCTGGGCAGAGGGGAGGAGACCTGGGGGTGTGGCAAAAGCCAGATGCTGGGGGATATTTGTGACTGTCTGGGTGGGCCAGGAGTTTAAAATAAAGATCACGGTCTTTGGCGCCCAGCCTGGGTCTGGCATGAGGACTTCTGTCATGTCCCTGAAAACCATCGCAGAAGTGGCCTCTCCCCTGGTCTCCAGCATCTGCTCTGTCAATGCCTCAAGTCCCGGCATCCCACACCCCTTCTCCAGGGCTGGAAAAAGGGAGGTCTCTGGTCTCCCGTCCTCCACGCCTGTTAGAACAAAGGAAAGGGGTACTTGGCCTCCAGGGGCTGTGGGTCCTTCCCTCCGCCCCCTGCTCAGATGCACCCAGAGTCTGGAGGCAGCCAGGGAGGCAGGGTGCTGTGCTTCCTCCTCGAATCCCATCTGTAGGAAATTGGCCCTTTTCTGACCCTTCTACCCACATCTATCCTCAGGGGGTGGTTATCAGGCCCCAGGACTGCCATTGTGGATTCCTCCCGCACCCTTGGGTGGATTTCACGCCAAAGCATCCAGGGTGCTGAGATGTCCCATCTGCAACTAGGGGTCCAAGTGCCCAGGACCGACGGCGCGCTCACACGGTTTGGTGAGATCAGAGTCCTTTATTTGGGGCACCAAAGGAGCCAGTGTCTGCCACAGTGATCCCTGTGGAGCACACAGGTGACTTAGACTTTGGGTGTACATTGCAGTGTGATATGGCTCTCCAGAGGGCACTGGGCGTGGAGGGTGAGTCAGCAGGTGGGAGAGGTGCCCCTGGGGCCAGGCCTGGTGCCTGGGGACAGTTGATGTCTGCCGCAGAGCGATGGTGGGGGCTGACCTACCTGTAGGTGGTGCTCATGTGAAGCAGCTGGTTTGGTAATGATAAGAATCAGGGCTGCCTTTCACAGGGCACTGATTCTGTGACTGTCCCCGGCAGGTAGAGGAAGAGGCTGAGGGTCGGAGTGACTTGCCCAAAGCAACTCAGCGGAGGTCCCATTTGATTTAACCACCTTCTTCTCTGGGTTGTGTCTAAGTTCTTTTGATTCTGAGGCAGAGAAGCAAGCCCTGGGTCCACTTATAGCTAATGGCTTTGCAAAAATAAGATTTCTTTCCTATGTCATTAGCCTCGTAACAAATCAGGGTCATGGTCGTGTGCTGCCCACAGATGAGTTTTGTTTCCTTACCCAACGTTTATAAACGCTTGGGTGATCCAAATTTAACACATCTAGAAGTTTCACATGCAAATTTGGATTTCCAGCTTTTCTTGAAAGACGTACCCACAGTGGGCTCCCATCACGTCCCATGATAGTTGTCCAAAGCAGCTGCCATGCCTTTTGGATGCTTGTCCCTGCCAGGTGGTCACAGTCTGCACCTTTCCCTAGTACTCCAACACTGAGGCTGCTAGTCAGTCGCCTTTGATCCTCACATTGCAGGTTTTATACTGGATTCATTTGCTAATTGTGTGGTATGCCCCAGAAGGACATCTGAGCTTGCAGCTCCTGCCTCACACTCTCTTCAGTAACCGTCATGGGACCCCTGGAGTGCTCTGAGGTAGGTGACAGCATGTCAGCATCCTCTGTTTTCTTCCATTGGTGTACTGAAGGGTGGGGCATGAGTCCAATTTTCAGGTCTGGGCTTCTTGATTGGCTGTTTCCCCAAGGGGGTGACACCTGGCCCTGGATCCAGGCACGAGGCTTCAGAGTTCAGCAGGCTTCCCCTCTTGGGGACCTCCACCCAGCCTTCCCACTGGGAACTTCAGAAGGGGCTATGTCCCCGGCCATGAGCAAAATCTCTTTCGTGTGACACCTCTTGACCCTCATGGAAAGGGATGGAGTGGGAGTCAGCTCTAGTTTATCTTCCTCGGTTGGAGTGACCCACGGGCAGCACCGGAAAGCAAGGCGGAATCCAGAGCGGAACCTGGGGAACGGAGGGTCAGCTTCAGCAAGGGAGTTGGGGTACAGGGGCTGTCGCGTGACTTCTCCAGCTCCAGGTGACTGTCTGGGGGAAAGTTGCTGCCTCTGAAGAGCCCACCATTCCCATCGCTCAGGGGTTCTTGAGAGATGCATCTTTTTGGAGGGGGGGCACTAGGGATTGAACCCAGGGACACCTTACCACTGAGCTACACCCCCAGCTCTTTTTACACTTTGAGGCAGAAACTGGCTGAGTTTCCCAGCCTGGCTTTGAACCTTCACTCTCTCTGCCTCAGCCTCCCTAGTTGCTGGGATTATAGGTGGGCAGTACTACCCCTGACAAGAGATGCATTCTTCAATGGATTTGATTTTAGGAAACAGCTAGAAGTATTCTGGAGTTTAGTGATTGAAGTGGGTGAGGAAGCTGACTTAGACCATTTGTTATTACAAATGAAAAGAAACAGAATAAAAGAATAATGGATTTTCTTGCTTGTCTTATAACTGGCTTCTAAAGTAGTATTCAAAGAAGGGTTTAAGAAATTGGGGCTCTGGCCATGCTGGTGGACTAGGGGTGCCCTCCCTGTGGGCTCCTATGAAGGAAAATTCACAGGTACCAAGTTTGGGTCCATAAGCTTAAAAAATGACTGTCCCCCGCAGCAGCACTGAAGTTTCAAGCTTAAAGTGGAGCTCAGAGGAAGCAGATTGGTGAGTGGAAACGGGTTGGCAGAAAATATACTGGAGGCTTAGGGCAGAAATAAGGGGACCCCGTGCAAGCTGTGCGAGAGCGCGGAACTGCACCGTCCCTTCCTGAGCTGCAGGGCTCCGTGTTCTGGAAGAGCCTGCCTCGCTTGGGATCCTCTTCGTGCAGCTCCATGGTATGGCCTGACAAGTGCCTATTTGCAAGCCTGGTGGCCTCTGATTTACACCCACACCCAACCCAGCTCCAAACCGTCCTCCCTTACCCTCCCCCCTACCCTCCCCCTGCAGTCTTCCCAGCTCACTCCTGATAGCTCTAAACTTCTGACCACCCAGGCCAAGAACTTGCTGAGAGTCATCTTTGACTTCTTCTCACTGGTGACCTCTTGTCCATCAAACTCCATTGGCAGCCTGGCGCTCTGGCGCACACCTAAGATCCCAGCAGCTCGGGAGGATCACGAGTTCAAAGCCAGCCTCAGCAAAAACAAGGCACTAAGCAACTCAGTGAGACCTGTCTCTAAATGAAATACAAAAGAGGGCTGGGGAGGTGGCTGGTTGAGTATCCCTGAGTTCAATCCCTGATACCCACCACCCCCAAAAAAATTCCTTTGGCAATATCCAGACCCTGACCACATCTCACCCCAGTTGAAACCATCCTTAGCTGGATCAATGCCAGAGCCTCCCTGAAGCCTTTCCCTTGGCCCCTCCCCTTTGGTATAGTTCCAGTGCAGTGCTGGACTGAGTCTTCCAAAATGTCGGAGCACGTGTCTCCCCTGCTCAGAGTCCTGTGGTTCCCCATGTTCAAGTACAAGCCCAAGTCCTGACCTTGACCCCAGGGCCATACTTCAGTTGTTCCTTCTGCCTGGAACACTTGTCCAGTCTGCAGGGCTGACTTAATCCTTCCCATTTGCCAGATGCTCAACAGCACACCGTGGGCCACTAAGTCCTTGAGCACATGGGAGCTCAGGTCTGCGTGTGTGATGGGGCAAGGCTCTGGGGAGGAGTTGGAACTCTATCTAGGGGGACCTGGAGGATGACATCCCACCTGGGTGGGAGGGGAGGGACTCAGGTAGGGACAAGGTGGAGGTTCACTTGTGCAGGGGACCCGAAGGCGCTGTCCCTGGCCTGGGAGCGGAAAGGACCTGGTCCTGTGGCGCTCACCTGTGGTTGAGGCTGCAGTAGATGATGGGGTTGTACATGGTGGAGCTCATGGCCAGCCAGAAGAGCGCCAGGTACACCTGCTGGATGAACTTGTGGCAGTAGATGTCCTCCCGGAAGTTGCCCAGGATGAAGTAGAGGTGGTAGGGCAGCCAGCAGATGGCAAATGTCACCACCACCAGCACCATGGTCTTCACAAACTGCTCCAGAAGAGCATCAGGTCACTCCTCAGCCCCTGAGTCCCAAGTGCTAACCCTCCTAGGGCATCAGGGGAGGCCCTCCGTGATCAGACCGACCTCTCTCTTCTGCCTCCACCTGGAGCTGCAGCCCAGATCTCCTGAACCCCCACCTCAGGGTCTGCACTCTTCTGCTCAACTGCTGTCCTGCCTTTAAAGCCATACTCCTAGAAGCCAGCCCAACGGTGACCTCAGTGGCCTCTCCTGCTTGGAGAGGAGAAGCTCACTCCTAAGCCCACCCTTGATGGGGGCTGTACCAGCTCTGAGGTCCCAGGCTACTGTTTCCCTGGGATCTGTGTCTGTCACTGAGCTCCACCCAGAGACCGCCACCTCTGCTTGGGGACCAGGTCCCTTGCCACCAACCCCCAACACCTGGCCTCTGCAGGCACACCCCTGCACTGCCCAAGAGGGATGAGGCCAGCTAGGGTAGGCAGGTGGAGACCAACACCTCGCGGGTTGCAGGGAGAAGGGGCATGATGGCAGCTCTCTAATCAGAAGCCACACTGCCATCCAGTTTCTTGATCTCTAGGTCTGCAGTTTCAGCCTTTAGGGATTCTCTGAGAGTCCAAGGCACCTCCCTGTGTACTTCCAGGGCTTGTCTGAAAATCAATGTTCCAATTATTCAAAATTCTAACATGTTAGGATTCTGTTATTCTGAGATTCTTGGAGGGATCTGAAATTCTGTGGGCTTCAGGACTTCCTGATCTCCCTAACCTTCCAGAAGTTCCCTCCAGTTTGTATTTGCCCAAAGACTAAAGGCCAATCCACCTGCCAGGGACAAAGGATGCTCTCTCCCTCCCCAGACTTGCCATGGCAGGGTCCTAGGCCCTCATTGGCTGGTTCTGAGGGTTCTGAGATGGCCAGGGTGACTCCTAGAGGTGGCCACATCCCGCCCCTGGCGCCTACCTTCTTCTTGGCCTGCAGGTGGCGCAGGTTGGCACCGTGGACCTGGTGTCGTGGGACAGCGCGCCTCCAGAGTGTGAGGCCAATGATGCTGTAGGCAATGAACATCACCAGGAGGGGCAGGAGGTAGATGAGGGCGATCACCACCAGGTGGTACCTGGAGTGGAAGCCAGGAGTTTGGACAGTCAGTGGCCGGTAGTGACTCCCATGTCTGCCGGTGCTCATTCGGGGGACTCTGTGGTCCTCACCCTGTAACACCTGTTGCCCCCCAACCCTGGTTTGATTTAAAGAAAAATAAATGCAACCTTGGCTAGCATCTGGGCCAAAAGAGGGCTTCTCCTGCAAAAGGGTCACCAGCATTTAGCCCCACAAGCTTTATGTGAAAGACAAGTGCTTACAAAAAAAAGTTAACAATTTGTTTAAAATGTAAAACACTATTAGGCCGGAAGGAGACAGCAAAATTACTTGTCTCACTCCCATCACTATTAACACTTTGGGCGGGGCGCGGTGGCACACACCTATAATCCCAGCCACTTGGGAAGCTGAAACAGGAGGAACGCAAGTTCAAGGCCAGCCTCAGCAACTTAGCGAGGCCTTAAGCAACTTAACGAGACCCTGTCTCAGAACAAAAAATAAAAAGGGCAGGGGATGTGGCTCAGGGATTGAGTGCCCCTGGGTTCAATCCCCAACTTCAAAACAAAACAAAATAAAACACACCAATTTGGTATAATTTCTTCCTGAAGTGCATGTGTAGGTTTGTATGTGTATGTCCGTGTGTGTGGGGATGCGTTTATGCACGTGTTCATATTTGTTAGACCATGTATCTACCCTATGTCCAAGTGGATGTAGAGGACGGCTGGCGTTAAGAAGGTGCCACCCTATCCCCACATCCCTATCAAGTCACACACCATCGCATCATCTGCTTCCTGCTCACCAGCCTTCAGTTGGGCACAATGCTTGTGTCAGCAAACACCCCTGGGCCCACCTTTGAGCAAGTGGCCCAGAACACCATTGCATGGCTACCTACCCAGGCCCCAGAAAGACCCCCAGATTGTGCTGTCTTTTCATTTCCTTCGGGAAAGAAAGACAGTGTCAAGGAGCTGTGTGTCCCTGCAGGCTGAGGGCTGACCCCCAGGCAGGGCTGCAGAGGGGCTTCTTGGAGCATCCCAAGCCTTAGACCCCCCGTTCTGCCAAGTGCCTTTTCCCTTTCTTACTAGAAAAGCTGAGAGGATCCCAAGCCCTGCCTCCACCCAGCATGTGCCAGCCGTGCAGGGCCCCATGTAGGAGGCTCCACCAGCCTGGGGCAGGGAGAAGGTGGCTCTGACAAATCTCTTCTAAAGCATCGTGTTTAGAATTTCACTTGCTTTCCTTTGACAAACGTGTCAGTCACAAAAGGTATGGAGACACCTAGGTGTCCTGATTCCCTTGTAGGACCTGAGTGTAAGAGCCCCATCACTGAGCAGGTAGGAAGGGAGAAGGAGCAGCCTGTGCCGGGTTTCTGTCACCCTACAGAGTGTCTAAGCTAGAAGGACCCTGAGAACCAACAGGGCCACCTTGCCTCAGTGTCCAGATGGGGACACAGAGTCTCAGAGAAGTGCAGAAAGTATGTTTCATTGGAATCAAGACTTAATCAAGACCCAAACCATCTCCGTTTCACCGAGGCTGTAGGAGTCAGAATGCTTTTCTAATTGAAAGCATGATCTTGGCAAGTCAGGTTTCTCCCTCAGCCTCAGTTTCCTCATCTGTCAAGTGAGCAGGTAATCTCTGTCCTTCCCATGTGTGAGCAACATTTTATTCTTTTCCAGAGACATAGTACAGGATAGGAATTCACCCTGGGCTAGGTTCCCATGAAGAAGGGAGCACTGAGGAGTGTTGAGGACACCTTCTAGAATCTGCCCAAACCAAGGAGTTCCCCCCCCCCTTTACCCCTTGTCCTTCTTGTATCTGAATTTTAGGGGTAAATGTGTATTTCCTGGAGGCAGCATCTGTAACTTCATCTGATTCCTACACTCACCCAGGTGTGAGCCTGTGAGGATAGAGCCCCAATCTCAATCTACATCAGCGGCTCCCCCCAACCCCGTATTCTCACCCAGAATCAGCCTTCCTGAAAATCCCATCAAAATTCCAGTAACACCAAAGTACCCCTTTCCCAGCCCACCCCTGTGCTCTTACTTTTCCCTGATGCCTGGATGGGGGCTGGAATTCACCATGCACAGAGGGTGGGAGCAGGGTCCCCTCAGTTCTTACTGGCTCCCCTTTCAAGGAGAAAGTCCCCATTCAAGTGGAGAAATACTGCCCCCAGTGGCCAGTTCCAAAATACTCTGCTCTCTACCCCTCTCCTTCCCCTCCATGGATGCAAACTTCAGGGACCAGTGGGGTGCAGGGCAGAGGCAAAGAGACCCTAGGCGGGGCCTGCCCTCAAGACCACCAGTCCCCAGTAGCAACCTTATTATTGGGATGGTGTCTTCTATGGCATGGAATGACCCTCTTCTGGAAGATGCTCAGGAGAGATGGGGCCCAGGGAGGGGTGGGTATTGGAGAAGGAGTGTTAAAGGAGACCGGGATGGGGACTGTGTTGCCATGGTTACCAGGAAGCCATCAGCTAAGAGTGCACACATCTGCAAGCCTGGGGCAGCTGGGACTTCACTGGACTAGATATGCTACCTAATGTGCCTTTGTTTGTCCCTTCCTTAATCTACCACATACTGGGCATGAGTTCTGTGCCAGGCACAGTGCTAAGGGCTTCGAGGACATGATCTCCTATTACTAATCCCCATTTTAGAGAGAAGACAAAGGCTCAGAGAGGTTAAGTGACTAGAGAGTCGTCTAGCCAGGAGGGAAGAAATAGGCCAAGACACTGGCCTGGCTACTAACTCCAAAGTCTCCGTCGACTCCTCTCCTCTACTAACCAATGGTGCCAGGCTTGGGGATCACAAAGCCACATTGTGAGAACCCTGGGAAACAGGCCCAGAACTGGCAAAGGACCTAGCCAGGGTCACGCAGCAGCCAGGCCATGCTTGGGTTTTTCTTCCCTCTCCTCCTCCCCTTTCCCAGCCCAGGATGCCCACCTCGGCATGAAGCAGACACCAGACACCCCCAAAACACGTGATGTGTCGAGCCCCACTTGCCATATGTATACACACATTGTACTTATTTCAGGACATACACATCTTAGGTGGCAGGGTGGCCTGTTTGAGTCCTTGTCTCACCACGTCCTAGTTGTGTGGTCTTGGGCATGTTATTTGGGTTTTCAGTGCCTCAGTTTCGGGGCAACTGAGAGAAACCCTGACTCAAAATAAAAAAAGACTGGGGATGTAGTTCAGTGGTAAAGTGCCCCCACTCAAGCTGCAGTGTGGGAAAAAAAAAGGTGCTTAGAACAGGCCTGGAAGTTAATGTTACTTTTAGTACAGATGGCCCCCAACATGTGTATTTTTTTTGGAGGGGGGTACCAGGGACTGAACTCGGGGACACCTGACCACTGAGCCACATCCTAGTTCTATTATGTATTTATTTAGAGACAGGGTCTCACTGAGTTGCTTAGTACCTCACCCTTTGCTGAGTTTGGCTTTGAACTCGTGATCCTTCTGCCCTAGCCTCCTGAGCCACTGGGATTACAGGCGTGTGCCACTGCACCCAACTCTGTCATGTGTTTTGATTAAATGATTGTCTTGACTTTATGATGATGCTGAGGTTATAGTCATTTGCTAGAAATGGAACTATGAAGTTTGAACTCAGATTTTTTCCTGGGCTAGTGATTTGTGACATGATCTCTCTCAGAATGCTGAATAGTAACAGCGAGACACAGTGCCCAGTTAATTCTGTAATGACGAGGAGTGACAGGTGACACTCTACAAGGTGCTTTGTGGCTGACCTAGGATGTGCAGGAGGTTAGGTGCACAAGATATCTTCAACTTAGGCCGGGTTTATAGGGGAGCGAGCCCATTGCTGAGGATCCTTAGTATAAACACGTGCTCACATAATCCCGTTCGGACTCCCAGATCCCATGCACGCCCACGAGCACACACTACACACACGGCCGGGAATGCACACATGAGCACATGCCTTGTGTCTCTGTACCCTTGCCCCGGGAGACCTTACTGGAGGAGTGACTTGTCCCTGCTGTCTTCAGGCCAGGCCACCACGCACTTGGTGGCGCCCTGGTCCACGGTGATGGTGGAATAGAAGCACTGGGGGAAGGCGAGGGCCAGGGCCACCAGCCAGATGCCCGCGATAACTGCCTTGGTGCTGGGGGCCGAGAGCCGTGGCTGAAAGGGATGGACGATGGCCATGTACCTGTGGGCAGAGCACAGAGCGAGTAGTGAGCGCCCTCCTGTCCCACCTGTCCCCTTCTCCATTCCTCTGCCCAGGTCCACACGCTGCTGACAATGTCCATGGGTGTTGGAGTTATGCCAGATCTGCAGAGAGTGGAGCTGGAGATTCTCACAGCCACACAGAGATGTCCTAGGTAGGCGCCGTTCTGTTCCGTAACCACTAACCACGTGTGGCCAGGAGTACTGTACGCATGGCCAGCGTGACTGGGGAACTGAATTTCAAATTTTAATTTAAGGGATTGGGGATGTGGCTCAAGCAGTAGCGCGCTCGCAGGGCATGCATGCGGCCCAGGTTCGATCCTCAGCACCACATACAAAGATGTTGTGTCCGCCGAAAACTAAAAAAAAAAATAAATATTAAAATTCTCTCTTCTCTCTCTCTCTCTCTCTCTTTAAAAAAAAATTAATTTAAACTTAAAGAGCCACATATTGGACAGCACAAGCCCAAACCTTTAAACTTGGCACTCGAGGCCTCTGCACGTGGCCAACGCACTGGCCAGCCTCCTCCCACTGCCTCCTGAGCCTCCCGGGCTCACTCTGGCCATGAGCCAGCCCTGCAGGGTCTCTCTTGGGCCTTTCCTCCCATCTCAGGCTGCAGCTCCTCCTTCCTCTCAAAGTTCCCAGGAGATGCCACCTGCGGACCTACTCAACTCCGGTCTCTCTCTGGGGGACTGTGGGATTGCAGCTGCTGTTTGGCAGCCCTGTGCCTGGTGGGGTGCAGGGCCCACCACCCACTGGTCTTTGATGGGGATTATTTATTTCCACATTAGGTGACAGGCTTGGAAAATGGAGAGACAGCCAGCTTGGGAAAGGCAGAGCTGGATTTCAGCCCTGGTTGGTCCAGCTGTGTGCTCCTGGCTTGTGAAGTCCCCTGTTCCCAGGACCTGTACAACACTGTAGGAGGGTCCTGGGGCCTGGTGTGCAGAAGCCACAGGGGTCTAGAGCCCTGACCAAGGAAGGTGAGCTGCTCATCTCTCCAAGGTCAAAGGATCCAAAGGGCACCGTTCAACACAGGCATGGCTGCCTGCCTTGAGTCCCCCAATATGTAGTGTGACCTAAGGTCTTGGTTTTCCCCTCACTAGAAGGAGGAGGTGAGACTAGATTAGTGGGTCTCTTTGTGTTCTGGGCCTGTTGCTGTCCAGTGGAGCCCAAGGACCCCTCCTTAGAATAAGATTTGGGGGTGGGGTACTGGGGATGGAACACAAGGCCACTTTACTGAGCCACATCCCCAGCCCTTTTAAAAACGTTTTTATTTTTATTTTTTAATGTTGAGACAGGGTCTCCCTAAGTTGTTGAGGATGGCCTCAGACTTGGATCCTCCTGCCTCCTCCCAGGTTGCTGGGATCACAGGTGTGTGACACTGTGCCTCGCTAGAATGAGATTTTTAAAATGAATAAATTATAATACCCTGGATTACAAAGAGCATCAGTCATACTGAAGTACAGTATCAAAACATAAAATAAATTTGGGACATTGTAATATATGCACTTTTTTATTAACACACTAAACAACAAGTTCTAGCCGCAGATCTGGAACCTATGGTAATTTTGAAGTAGTGATTTCTGTAACAACACAAGAATCTCAATCTCTCTCTCTCTCTCTCTCTCTCTCTCTCTCTCTCTCTCTCTCCTTTTTGTGTGGTTCTGAGGATCAAACCCAGGGCCTTGAACATGCTAGGCGCGTGCTCCACCACGGAGCTACACCCCCAGCCCACAAGTATCTATGATTTCTGTTGGTGACAAAGCCCCGGGCGCTGCTGGGGTCCCGGCGAAGTGTGCTTACTGCCTACCTTTGTGCTTGTGTCATTTTTGTCCCCACATGAGTTCAGGAACCTTGTGGTTTCTGCCCGTGGTCTGCGGTCATGGGTTAGGTTCTCCTGGACCAGATGATGTTAGTGTCCTCCCTCCTTGTCCTGTGACACTGACCTCCTCTGACTACCACGGAGCTTGGGCTTTGAGCACGTGATTATTCCTACTTATTCATTTCCTTTTCATTGACCAGAAATGGCCTTGGTACCTGGCGACCTGTGGCTCCTTCTCCGCTGGATGAGTCCAAGCTTTGGGACAAGGCAAGGACGATGGACTGTGGCCTCAAATTTATGTAGCCCCCACCGTGGGAACCGGCAGTCCCCACCCCGGTGTCCCAGGCGTTACGGGGGCACTGACTGCTCCGCAAGGTTTCCACCTTCTGCCTGGAATGGTTACCCCCAGAGGTCACTCATCCCCTCCTCCTGGTGGCTCAGATCCACCCTCACAGGTCCATCCTGATGCCCGTTTAACATGACATCCTGCCCCACCTCCCATCGCCTTTTTTTTTTTATTGGTTGTTCAAAACATTACAAAGCTCATGACATATCATCTTTCATACATTTGACTCAAGTGGGTTATGAACTCCCATTTTTACCCCAAATTCCCATCGCCTTTCTGATCTCTGATATTTTTTCAAAGCCTCATGACCTCAAAACACAGCACGGAGTTCATGGATTCAGGTGCTTATGATTCAAACTCTTGCCAGGGGAGGCTCATTTACCCGATTTTTTTTTCCTTCTCCCAAACGCCAGAATAACATCTATACTTAGCAAGCACGGGACATGTATTTGCTAAATAAATGAAGAAATAGGGGAATGAATGAAGGCGTTTCCACCGTGAACTGATCTGAGCTGCCCGCCTCCGTCACCTGGATTATTATTCAACAGCTTCCTGCCTGGTCTCCCAGCTCCCCCCCTGCCCCCCACAGCCCCCTTGCCCTCCACAGCACCCCCCTGCCCTCCACACCCCTCCCTGCCCTCCACAGCTCCCCTGCCCCCCACAGCACCCCTGCCCCCCACAGCCCCTCTGCCCTCCACAGCGCCCCCTGCCCCCCATAGCACCCCTGCCCCCCAC